CTTCCTCTCGTGGTTGTTTCAGGACCGTCATCTTATGCCAAACACTGTCGCCTCATATCGTGCGGCGCTGGCGGAGCCGCTTCAGCTTGCCTTCGGTATCGATGTTACATCTGAGCCGTTCGCAAGCTGTCTCGTGCATTGTTTCACCTCCAGCCTGCTCATGCGCCACCTGAGCTGTCCTGGTCTTTGGACAGAGTGCTCGCTTTCCTTTCGTCTCCTCGTTTCGTTGTGGCCCATTCGGTCCAGGAATGTTTTTCCAAGGCTCTTTTCTTGTTGGGTTTGGCCTCTGGGGGTTGGGTAGGGGAGCTTCATGCTCTCCTCCGGTGCAGGGGTTTCTGCTCTTTTGGTCGTGGAGATTGTTTTGTTCGCTTGCAGCCGTCTCCTTCTTTTCTGGCGAAGAATGAGACTGCTGCGTTCCGGAAGGGTCCGTGGGTGGTTGATACTTGGTTGGTCAGGCCGGGGGTGCATCATGTTTTGTGTTCAGTTGCGGCGCTTCGCCGTTATTTGCGCGCCACAGCTTCTGTGTCTGGGGACGCGCTGTGGGTTGATCCGGTTTCCCTTCTTCCCTGGTCGCGGGTTCGGGTCTTAGAATGCTTCCAACCACAAGGGGGTTTCTATAGACCATTGCTCCTCATGCCTCTCTGAGGGGGGCCAGGTTCTGGCTTGTGATCCCCGGTAGGCAAGAACTCCATGCACGTTGACTGATGCCAGAAAGCTAATAGTTATATATCACTCTTGATAGCTCCGGGGAGATGACGGGCTCACCCCAGAAATATATGTAACTGGTATTATTTAGCAATGATAGTATTACAGTATTATGATAGATGCAGATACTTATATATAACATGTATATATATTGTAATAACAGCAAAAGGAGTGTTGGGAGAAGTCATTTTGGGCTGAGGGAGGAGGCATCATCTGCGTGACTTGTCATGCTGTGTAAGGGTGGCCATTATGCTCATTGGGCACTATACCAGCTTAGTTGAACAGTTATGGTGAACAAAACATGAAGATACTTATATATAATGTTTGTATATAATGTAATAACACCACAAACAGTATACTTGAAGGAGGAATGTTAGTGCATCTGGCCTTGAACCTGGGGTCACACAGCTGGGAACATCTGCTGTGTGTGGCCACATGTTACTGTCTGCCCTCAACATACAAACTTAGTGATTCACTATGATGAACAAAGCATGCAGAAACATACATATAACCTGTGAATATAGTGTAATAACAGCAAAACTATTTTTTTATGAACGTAATAATTGAATCATTAATATGATCATAATACTTTTGAGTATAGCAATGAGTCACATATTTTATTATATAAATATATCATACTACACAGTACTGAATAATATTACTGCAAAAATACTTAGAAAAAATCTATCAGACATTGAAATAACGAGGTAATAATATCTTTGTGGTAACTCCTACCTGACAGCTCAGGTGGAGCCAACCGCCTCCAGGGCTTGATCTTTCAACGCCTCTTTTTTGCCAGACTTCTCCCCCCCCCCCCCCTATTGCGGCCAAAATATGCATATGATTTTTGTATTATTTTCCTGTAATCAGGGAACAGAAATGAACACTTTTATAAGACAATTTTTTTTTTTTCTCCTGTGGGTGTTAACCCTTAACCCTCAAACCGCGCATATCATATATAAATGATATCAGTGACAAAACCGAAACCGTGCACATCATTTATATATGATTTCGTGTCTAGCGCTATAATTTAAACGCCCCGCGTGGGATAGGGGCAGCTATAGTACAGCCACGACCGATAGTTGCCAGATGCCACCTAGAAAAAAAATCCAGGCCAACATTCTTGGGTGTTAGCGCGTCAGTATTGAGCAAGCCACCAAGGCTGGCACACGCAGCCCGAGCTCACAGCACCGCTGTTCAGCTTGTGACCACAGCATCGCCTACAAATACCATAATATAAATGATACTGCTATTATTTAGCAGTGATAGTATTACTGAAGCCCCCTGACTGTGATAAAACTGACCAGGATTCTGATAATAGCAGGATTGTGGTGATATTTAGCGCTGTGCTCCATGGAGGGAGGAGTAAGGCTGTGGAGGGAGGGTTGTGGCGTTGTCTTCTGACTGTGTGTGGCCACCATTTATTGACTGCACTCACCATACCAGCTTAGTGGTTCGATATGGTGAACACAAATGTAGATACTTATATATAACGTGTGTATAGTGTGAGATAACAGCGAGAGGAGTAGGTTGGGAGCCGCCATTTTGGTGAGGGAGGAGCGTCGTCTGCACGACTTGGCATGGTGTTTACTGATGGCCACTATGGTCTTTGGGCACCATACCAGCTTATTTGTTCAGGTATAGTGAATAAAACAGGTAGATACTTATATATAATGTGTGTATATAGCGTAGTAACACCACAAACAATATTGTTGGATGACAAATATTAGTGCGTCTGGCCTTGAGGGCGGCCGCCGATCAGCTGACTGTGTGAGTAGCTACGTCTTATGGCTTTTACTCACCATACAAGCTTAGATGTACAGTTATGGTGAACAAAACATGTAAATACGTATATATAACGTCTGTGTATAGTGAATAAATACAAAAGAGTATTGTGGGAGGTGAATGAGGGTGAGTGAGGTGGTGTTGAGGGAGGGAGTGGCAGTGAGTGGCTCGCTGGTGTTTGGCGGTCACTCCTTGTTGCTTTTTGACTCACAAGACCAACTTAGTAGTTCGTTATGGTGTACAAAACATGCAAATACTTATATATAACCTGTGTATATAGTGTAACAACAGCAAAACTATTTGTTTATTGTTTTATGAACATAATAATTGAATCACTAATATGCACACCATAATTTTGAGTACAGCGATGGTTCACACATTTTATAATATAAATATACAGTACCACAATTCACTGTATGGAATAATATTACTGCAAAAAAACTAAGAAAAAATCAATCAGAGACACTGAAATAATTAGGTAATAATATATTTGTGGCAACTGCCGTCTGACAGCTCGGGCGGAGTAGACCTCGTCTGGCGAAGGCTCTGCCAACGCCCCTTTTTTGCCACACTTCCCTACCCTATTGCGGCTAAAATATGCCACCTACGATTTTTTTGTTATTTTTTCCGAGATCAGGGAACAAAAATGAACACTTCTAGAAGACGAAAGAATTTTTTTTATTTTTTTTTTTTTTGTTGCGCCTGTGGGTGTGAATTCCATTTGGGCCCCTAGTGGTTTGAGGGTTAAAGTGCACATCACGTCATATGACGTGCTGGACGTTGTTCCAGTCAACTGCGCATCACGTCATATGATGTGTTGGAGTACTACGCAAGATTTAAACAGCCCGCGGATACACGGGGTTCACCACACCTTCATCAGGGCTCTTGTAAGACGCCATAAACAGACGCCATTTTTTTTAAAAATCGTGGGCCAAACTCCCGGGTGTTATTGGCCTCAGTATTGAGTGAGCAACCAAGCCTGATGCATGCAGCATGAGCTAACAGCACTGCTATTCAGCTTGTGACCACAGCATCACCTAAAAATGCCAAATTATACTTGTTCATGCTATTATGTAGTGATGATATTATTACAGAAGACCCCTGACTGTGATAAAACTGACCAAGAAAGAGTAATGCTGTGGGAGGGAGGGTGGTGGCGATGTCTTTTGACTGTGTGTGGCCACCTTTTATTGACTGCACTCAGCATACCAGCTTAGTGGTTCGCTATGGTGAACACAAATGTAGATACTTATATATAACGTGTGTATAGAGGGTATAAACAGCAAGAGAAGGTTTGGAGCCGCCATTTTGGTGAGGGCAGTGGCGTCGTCTGCACGACGCCACCGTGCAGACGACGGTGTTGTTTACTGGTTACCACGATGGTCTTTGGGCACCATACCAGTTTATTTGTACAAGTATGGTGAATAAAACAGGTAGATATTTATATATAATGTGTGTATATAGCGTAATAATACCACACAGTATTGTTGGAGGAGAAATATTAGTGCGTCTGGCCTTGAGGGCGGCCGCCGATCAGCTGACTGTGTGAGTAGCCACATCTTTGTGCCTTTACTCACCATACAAGCTTAGATGTACAGTTATGGTGAACAAAACATGTAGATACTTATATATAACATCTGTATATAGTGAATTATAGCAAAAACATTATTGTGGGAGGAGAATGTGGGTGAGTCAGATGACTGGAGGGAGGGCGGGAGTGGCTGGCTGGTAAACGGTGGTCACTCCTCGTTACTTTTTGACTCATAATAGCTACTTAGTGGTTCGTTATAGTGAACAAAACATGCAGATACCTATATATAACCTGTGCTTATAATGTAATAACCGACAAAGTATTTGTTCACTGATTGATGAACATAATTGAATCAACAATATGCACACCATATTTTTGAGTACAGCAATGATTCACTCATTTTATTATATAAATATATCAAACTACACACTATTGAATAATATTACAGCAAAAAAGTATGAAAAATCAATCAGAGACATTGAAATAATTCGGTAATTATCTCTTTGTGGCAACTCCGGCCTGACAGCTTGCGAGCAACAGACCGCCTGGGACGCACGCTGAGTCAGCGCCTATAATTTGCCAGACTTCCCCGCCCTATAGCGGGCAATATATGCCACTTTCGATTTTTTTATTATTTTTCCCGTGATCAGTGAACACAAATTAACAGGTTAGAAAGAAAAAATATTTTTTTTTTTTTTCAAAATGACATGCGCCTGTGGGGATGACAGGATATTAAACCCCGAGCATGTTAATGGTTAAAGGCTAAATAGCCCAGAGCAGCTTAAGGGTTAAAGCTGTACACTAGTTTATCATCATTAATTAGCTTGCCCTTGCCTTCAAATGCAATTCTAACTGCAAAATAACAGATGTTACTAATGAACCCTAGATTAGTAACACAAATATTACCAAGTAAATACCTTTAGAATACTCCTCAATAAAGAAAAAATTCTATATCACACAAAAAGTAAATTTTACCAACCTGGTAGGAGAGTATTTCATTCATGTGTGGCGTCATGATTGCAGGAGCAAGGGGATACACAGCTGGGGCAACAACATGCGTTTCTGAGCTCGTCAGATTTTGTAAGAAAAACCATGCACTTGATTCCTGAGCAATGAAGAAAAAACATTTAAGTGTTGAATGTAATGAAACTCATTTCTAGGCAACCTCCGTTACTCCTTACTGTATAGCTTTGGTACCACAGAGACAACAACGTAACTACCAGGCCTCTGAACTTACCTGGTTGATACCTGGTTGATGGGGTACTGGGAGTTCTTCGACTCCCCAAGCCCGACCTGAGGCCAGGCGTGACTTGTGAGAGTTTGGTCCACTAGGCTGTTGCTTGGAGTGGCCCGCAGGCCCACATACCCACCACAGCCCGGTTGGTCCGGCACTCCTTGGAGGAACTTGAGCGAGCCTTAACATCAGTTCTGGTCCTGATCACCAGGACCAAAAACTGGTTTGCTCACAAAGGTAAGAGGAGTACAGGAATCCAAGATCAACCTCATAATCAAATAACATTGCCAAAAAACCAGCACTGAATGTAATGAAACACCATTTTCTGAGTAAGACCCAGAGGCTCCCAAGAGCTATACTGGGCTGATGTGTATATATTAAACAGTGTCAACAGTCAATCGATGGAGTTCTAGGCCTACCAGGGACAAGAGCGAGAACCTGGCCCCTTCAGAGAGGCAAGAGGAGCAATGGCCTATAGACACCCCCCCGTGTAATTGGAAGCAGTCTATGTCTGCCATCTACCTGGTCAGGCACCTGGAAAGGTTGGAATTCCAAAACAAACTACAACTGGTTAAAAATTGCAAACTGAAAGCCGAACTAGCCAGCAGAATTCCCCAATCAAACAAGCATGACGTCACCACAGCCGCCACGCCGCTGTCTGAGTAACTCCCCCCTCCCCGGGAAGAGGAAGTGGGGTGGCCCTAGACCCCTTTATGCTAGCTACCCAACCCCAGTTCAGAGGCTGAATATCAAAAATGCAAAAAAAATGTCGACTGGAGGGAGGGATGCCAGGGAGCCTCTGGGTCTCACCCAGAAAATGCCATTTCATTACATTCAACGCTGGTTTTCTGTGAAGAGCCCCTTCGACTCCTAGAGCTACCTAACCAAAGATAAAAAAAAAAAGAGGGACTTACCCGGGAGGCGGCCGCCACTCACTGCTCAATTCGAAGTTGAGACAACTGGCTGCAACCTGCAACCCAAGGCTACACATGCCTGAGAAGGGCCAGGAACATTAACGAGGTACCATGCAGCCAGGACCCTGTTCAACCTCCAAAAACCCCATGCCCTAATGTCAGCCCAAGACATATAACCAATAATAGCAGCTAATGCCGCGAACTCACGAACGTCATGGGCACAGGGATAGACTGCGGGCTGGCTGAACCGAATAATCCTGCGGACGATCTGGGAGACCCATGCCCTGGAACAGGGAAGAAGGGAAACTGGGTCCACTCAAGGTGCGTCCCTTGCCACAGAGGTATTGGCGTGCAAATAACGGCTAAGAGCCACAACCGAACACAAAACATGATGCACCCCCAGCCGAACCATCCAAGCATCAACAACCCAAGGACCCCCTCCAGCAAGCAGCAGTCTCAATAGAAGTTACATATATATTTTGACATTTTTAGGCGATGCTGTGGTCACAAGCTGAACAGCTGTGCTGTGAGCTCATGCTGTGTGCGGCAGCCTTAGTGGCTTGCTCAGTTCTGACGTTCTCACACCCAGGAATGTTGGCCACAATTTTTTTTCTAGGTGGCGTTTGCCAACTATCGGTCATAGTTGCACTATAGCTGCTCCTATACCACACGGGGTGTTTAAATTAGACACTAAAACAGCTATTAATGTTTTGCACGGTTCCAGTTTTGTTATTCAAATCATCTATATATGTATTGTGCGGTCTAAGGGTTAAAGATATGGGCACCATGTGCAGAGACTCAAAGAACACCCAGCCAACTTTAAATGAATCAGTTTCTGCAGACCTCTATCTTTGATCGGGTGAACATCAGGCAGAAGTGAAGACAGCTGAATCCCATAACCCAATAGTGGTGACCTGACTGCCACCTGGTGGTGATCAGGTGGCAACAATTTCTCAGTATTTTACAGAGCAATAGTTAGCAATTCCTGAGTTGCCAATCATAAGTTAAATAAATGTTGTCAGATTTGCTCTGCTCTTTGGTGTTATAGGTGTTATCAACACCAATTTGGCTTGGTGTTGGATTTAGAGAATTCTTTACTGTTTGTGCTCTAGAACTATGGGAGAAACCCATATAAACATTTATGTCACAGTGGGGAGAAAGCTGACGAGACTTTAGCATGTGATCAGTGTCCTGGATAGAGCCTGACTTCTGGCTCAAAAAGCAGACAAAATGGCCTTTGTTAGAAATATATACACAATAATATAATGCAGCATACATTAAAGACTTTAGCATATAGAAGAATAATTTTAGTACACACACACATATATACAATATATGTAAAGCTCACCTGAAATATCTGAATACGTGTACCAGCACTTGGAGCATCTAAGTGAATATCTCGAAAGATAAGTCTGTGGTCCACTATGAACTGGAGAACAAAGGCACATTTGGATCCTGCCTTACATTTATCATAGCAGTAATCTTGCTTCTCAGAGCCAGCTGGAGTCCTCATGTGAATCAGTGCTGCATCCATTGCCCCCATAGCACCAGGGAAGCCAGAAACATTTTTGACAGCCTCAGCAATAACTAACCTAGTTAACAGAAAATGATATTGCTATATTGTATTACAAAAACAATGTACCATTTTCCTGAATATTATAAAATAGTCACACTTCTTTTTTGAACTAATGAGAATGCAAATTTGCACCAGTGCAAAATTATTTTCAACATCAAAATATTTACTTTATGGGGGGAGAGTTCACTTATACCCAAGACAGCATGCTAGAATAACACAGTTGAGTTGCTGTTTTAGGTGTGTGCTACATCCAAATATAATGTACCATGTTCTGACTTTATGACTGCTAAAAAGCCAGTGTTGAATGTAATGAAACGTCATTTTCTGGGCGAGTCCCGGAGGCTCCCCGGAGCTATCCAGGCTGAATGGATATGTATAACTTTCTGGCATCAAAGTGCTAGGAATTCTTGCCTACCGGGGACCACGAGCCAGAACCTGGCCCCCTCAGAGAGGCACGAGGAGCAATGGCCTATAGAAACCCCCTTGTGATTGGGAGCATTCTATGTCTGCCATCGACCGGGACAGGCACCCAGAGAGGTAGGCGCCCCAAAACAAACCCCTATTCTGGTGAAATTATTGCTACCGAAAGTCGAACGAGTGGACAGAACTCCCCAAACAAAATTATCAAACTAGCATGACGTCATCACGTCGCCGCGCCACCGTCTGCGCAACCCCCCCCCCCTCCCCGAGAGGGGGAAGGGGGAGCCCCAGACCCTCCACGCCGGCGATCCAACTGGCAGTTCTTAGGCTGGATGTCAAAAGACGCGAAAACGCCGCCGACCAGAGGGAGGGAGGGATGCCGGGGAGCCTCCGGGACTCACCCAGAAAATGGCGTTTCATTACATTCAACGCTGGTTTTCTGGGGGGAGCCCCGTCGGCTCCCCGGAGCTACCTTACCAAAAGATAAGTAAAACAGGGAAGGAACCGGGAGGCGGATACCACACGTCCTAACTGAACAACCAAAACCAGAGACAAAACAAAGACCAAAACGAGAAGAAAAAGACCACCCAGGCCAACGACTAGGACGGCCCCAAAACTCAAGAGCAGGCCAGAGGGGAACAACGCCCAGGACAGCAAGTGGAATGGAGCAGAAGGAACCGCAACACTGAACTTAAGCAGGAGCGGCTCTGCCAGCACCACCCAACATGAGGTGACAGGACAATCCCAAACAACGGTCCCAGAACAACCCCGAAGGGAAGACAAACCAACCCTATCAAAGACCGAAGGACCCTTCGCAGCGATAGGAAAACCAAACACCGCCCCCGAGACGAAACATGCAGGTTGGAGACCAATAACGAACCCACCTGTGCCAACAGAAACGACGAGAAACGAACACCACGATTGAAGGCGCAAAACGCGAATCTAAAATCAGAGACCCCGCAACCCAAAGGAGCAACAGAACCAGCTCCAGCAGGGAAGAATGATACATGCATCCCCGAGGTGTCCAATTGGAGAACTACCGAGGACAAGAACCTCAGGAAAACAAACACACCCGGTCCGGAAACGGAACAAAGAAAAACAGAAACCAGGACCGGAACCCAGCAAACCCGGTTCCAAGAAAAGGAACCAGGAAGGCAGGAGCGGCAGACCGAAAAGTCCACACACCCCCCCCCCCCACAGACAGCGCAACCCGAAGCCTGCAGAAAACCACACAGAAATCGCAGGAACTCGGTACCAAAACGGAACACCGGAGAAGTCCAAAAGCAGGACGTGGAACATGGACAGAGGTCCACCGGAGCACCAAACAGGATAATCAAGAAGCACTGACTCAGATACACAGAAAGTGTAGCATGGGGGAGGAAAAACTGAATTAGGTAAGGAAAACCACGAATACGGCCCAAGGAGCGGCCAGGAAGTAACGCACACGACCAACCACAAAATGTGTAGAGGAGCGTGTACATACCTGAGGAACCTTACGGACAGCAGGGGTATCTTGAGGTTCTTGAGATGATTTCTCCCTCGGCTATGTGAGGGTGCAGTCAGGCACCGAAGATAGGCAAGGAAAGTGTCCAGACAGGGAAAAGACCCAGGGGTCTACAACGAAAACAAAAGCACCGAAATGCGGGGCAGAGCCCCACAGGACAACAAAGAACAAAAGAAGGACAAAAGGCACTAAAGACACATGCAAGGTGACCAAACACCACACCAAACACCCCAGTCAGGAGCCATCGACGCAATCCCGCCAAGCGGGGAAGAGAAAACAAGGATGGTATAGTGAACAAGGGTGGCGGAAGGAGTTGAGTATCCCAAGAAGATACTCGCTCCAAACGCATGAGCCTAACTAGAGAAGCAAAGCTCTACAAAGTACCAGCGATGGAACTCAAACCGTTCCGTACGTTCAACAAAAAGTCCTGCCAACCTGTGGGGAACTGAGGCGGCACCCAAGCATATAACCAGCAGAGTAGCGAATAATAACTAGTCTACCGGCAAGTGTGGTCTAGATAGAACAGACATGCGAGACACCGTACTGACACTCAGGGCGCCCAACCCGCACCATTGCCCGCCAACGATCACCCACAACTACTGTATATGCAACAAAAGATAAGTAGTTCCTTAGTGTTTGTGTGTATTTACCAATCTCCACAAAACAATAGAAACTGGAATAGTGGCACATGCCACCCGAGCGGCACATTGTGGGCACGAAACAATGGGCATAAAAGGGATAAGCTCAGAATCAGGAAAGACCGGAGGAATGACCGGCACGGTAAAAGGCCCGGTGATGTGCGGAACCAATTACCACGTAACGTGGTGGTGGGGCCCCACTATTGGTGCAATGGCGGGTTGGACATGTAAGTGAGTGGGAATGTATGTTAATCTTCTTGTGTGAGTAGCTGTTCACTGGAGACAGTTAAGCAAGTCCCAGCTGTGTCTGGGTACAAGTGACAGGATGAACAACCCAGTGGGATTTCTTCCTATTGGGGAGTTGTACAAGCTGCTATGGCGGTGTGTCCACTCACAAGATGAGTGGCGCTGCCCAATAAACTCGCCCCTCAGAGCAAAATTGAATTTAATTTAGTAGCTGCCTCGCACGGGCCAAGAGGCCCTCCGCAGGGCCACTGTACATATGTCCGTATGCAGGTACGCACAAGGGGACACAGGAGGTAGGGGGCACCCAATGGAGCCACAGACACGAAAAAGAACCCGATTAATGGCAGAGGGAAACGAAGCCAAAAGCACCAAAATGCCATGTGGAGGAGGCAGACGCCAACCACAGGAGTAAGACAGAGCCTGGCGTCTGCCTCCTCCACATGGCATTTTGGTGCTTTTGGCTTCGTTTCCCTCTGCCATTAATCGGGTTCTTTTTCGTGTCTGTGGCTCCATTGGGTGCCCCCTACCTCCTGTGTCCCCTTGTGCGTACCTGCATACGGACATATGTACAGTGGCCCTGCGGAGGACCTCTTGGCCCGTGCGAGGCAGCTACTAAATTAAATTCAATTTTGCTCTGAGGGGCGAGTTTATTGGGCAGCGCCACTCATCTTGTGAGTGGACACACCGCCATAGCAGCTTGTACAACTCCCCAATAGGAAGAAATCCCACTGGGTTGTTCATCCTGTCACTTGTACCCAGACACAGCTGGGACTTGCTTAACTGTCTCAAGTGAACAGCTACTCACACAAGAAGATTAACATACATTCCCACTCACTTACATGTCCAACCCGCCATTGCACCAATAGTGGGACCCCACCACCACGTTACGTGGTAATTGGTTCCGAACATCACCGGGCCTTTTACAGTGCCGGTCATTCCTCCGGTCTTTCCTGATTCTGAGCTTATCCCTTTTATGCCCATTGTTTCGTGCCCACAATGTGCCGCTCGGGCGGCATGTGCCACTATCCCAGTTTCTATTGTTTTGTGGAGATTGGTAAATACACACAAACACTAAGGAACTACTTATCTTTTGTTGCATATACAGTAGTTGTGGGTGATCGTTGGCGGGCAATGGTGCGGGTTGGGCGCCCTGAGTGTCAGTACGGTGTCTCGTATGTCTGTTCTATCTAGACCACACTTGCCGGTAGACTAGTTATTATTCGCTACTCTGCTGGTTATATGCTTGGGCGCCGCCTCAGTTCCCCACAGGTTGGCAGGACTTTTTGTTGGACGTACGGAACGGTTTGAGTTCCGTCGCTGGTACTTTGAAGAGCTTTGCTTCTCTAGTTAGGCTCATGCGTTTGGAGCGAGTATCTTCTTGGGATACTCGCTCGGATACCAACCAGACCCCGCCCCAACCCCGAAACCCTCCTATGGCTCGGAGCAGGAAGCAAGGGAGGAAGTGAGTAGAACAGAAGAGGAGGAACAAGAAGCGGAAGGAGCCAGAGCCGAAGCGACCCCCACCCCCAAGTCCAGACCCCATCCACCAAAACAGGGCAGCCTCGGGGCATCCGGGGCCGCAAACCAAGAGCGTTGCAGCAACACACACCCAGCAAGCAACGCCGCAGCCGCCTGCACCCGATTATCAAGACCAGTGGCATGGGTGAAGGAGAGCGCGTACCGACAATAATCATCGGACGACTCCGGGTCACAAAAACAAGGACCCAACAGGCAGCATGGCAGAGGCACAACCGGTGAATGTCATCCTGAGACAAGGGGACAGATCAACCGTCAAACTCGCAGGACGCGAGGGGGACTCCGGGGACACACCTAGAGGACCACGGAGCCCCCGTGGGGTTTCCCAGGGCCCTTAGTCTTTGGTACACGCTAAGGGACGCCCAGGCAAGGTACCGCGAACCGGCGCCGAAATCTACCAACAAACTGCTAAAGCTGAACCCCCGGGACGTGTCCACTCACGGGGGCCAAGCGGGGAGTACCGCCAACAGAAGAATTCGAAAGAAATTCACCTAGAACAGGAAAGGGGGACCATAGTAAAAGCAGACCCCCCACCAGGCAAAACAAAAGAAAAACCCCGCAAGAGGACAACGTACCCAAGCGGAACAGAGCCAGCCGCTGTTAATGGTGAAAACTAGCTGTGCAGTACCCCGCGCCCCTACTAGTGACGAAAACTACCACCTACCCAGAGAC